AGGGTTTAGGGTTTATGGTTGGTTTAGGGTTTAGGGTTTAGGGTTTATGGTTGGTTTAGGGTTTAGGGTTTAGGGTTTAGGGTTGGTTTAGGGTTTAGGGTTTGGGGTTTAGGGTTTAGGGTGAGAGGCCATGCCCCGAGTCACAGTGGCAGTATCTTACATCGCAAGCAGGTACAATGCAAACGTCCTACCTGGTCCTAGCTCAGCACAGAACTTGCAGGCCTGCTTGCTGCCCGTTCCGCCGAAAGGCCAACAATGCCTTATAAAGCTTTTGAATAATCAAAAAACTTCACAGATCCGCAAATAAGCCCCCAAAATAGTATAGGTAATTAGTCAGGCCCGTATATTAGTCTAAGAAACCCTTTGAGCCCTGTCAAAACCTCACAGATCCCGCCAAAAAGCACTCGACCCGGAAGGGGAACCCTCATGTCGAACACCCCGCGCTCCCCCGCCCCCACCCCCACGGACCTGCTCTGGCATCAAGGAGAGGGACAGGCCGGTTCCGAGGTCCTAGTTGGAAAGGTTCGACTACCCAGAGAGCCCAATACCCCTTAAATAAGGAATATACCTTAAATTATAGGGGCCTTAATATTATGATTTAAGGTATATTCCTTAATTGAGGGGTATTGGGCTCTCTGGGTACATCTATGATCCGCAGCGAAAAGGGGGATGGCGGAGTGGTGATGAGGTTCCTGAGCGTAGAGTAAGGGAACCACACCAAAAACCCTAGTCTAGCTATTCCTTCTTCATCATTCATATTCGGATCCTACTGTTGCATGATCTGTAGCTTCCATGTGCAAGGAAATCTCTTGCATCCCAGACACTCAACCCTAGACCCTTACTTCGCAGTGTATTTCTTACCTAGCCTAGCACTTCTGCATTGTCACTGCTGACTTGTCTTCTTTGGGCTTCGGCTTCAGGGTTTGGGGCTCAGGGTTTCGGGTGCAGGGTTGGGTGAGACACTGGCCCGCTGAACCTCCTCCCCATCTTTAACAGATTTTGAGCACGACCTAAAAAGACCACTTCGACAGATTTTTGCGCTTGGAGCTCGCGGCCGTCTTGCGATAGTCGGAACAAACGACAAGAAGGATCATAACACTAAGCCACGGAAGTCACTTTGAGAAACATTAATAAAGAAGATGCACGATGAAGATACATAGCAAATACTCCCAATGTCCTTTGATAGTTCCCCAAAAAGGAACCCGAGAAGGAGTGACTCGACCAAAGCGCCCCCGCGCCTTGCTGCCTGTCGCGAGACCGTGGATCTGCTCTGGCGTGAGGGCAGAGGCATAAGCCTCACAGAAGGTCTCGCAGCAGAAGGTTTAGGGCTTCGGGTTGAGGGTTTAGGGTTTAGGGGTTTAGGATTTAGGGTTTAGCATGGCAAAGTGTGACAGTAGATACCCAAAGAGTTAAATCACATCAGCTGACATCTCTCGAGATCTCTGCAGGCGGACTCATCATCAACTGTTGCCAAAAGCGTTTGAACCGATCTGAAGACACGAACCCAAGCCAAACTGCAGCCCCGAAAACCTCGAGTTCCTAAACCACATCTGCGACCTGGCACCTTAAGCCCAAAACCCTAAGCCTTCAAGTATTAAAACCCCGAGTCTGCTCTTAACCTGGTCAAAACCCTGTCAAACCCTGGTAAAACTTTGCAGAATCCCCGGAGCAACTCCACCAAAAAAACGAACACCCCTTGAGGACCATGTGAATATATGTGAATGAATCCTTTAAGGGAAAAAAGCCCTACAGGGTCCTTTAAGGGAAACCCCTTAAAGGGTCCTTTAAGGGAGACCCTTAAAGGGTCCTTTGAGGGGAAGGGACGGTCTCTGCCTGCACATCCTTCAAGCCCGCACCCGCTGCGATCTCCGCCTCTACTGGCCCAAGCCTCAGTGCTTTGTTGCTTGGTGTGTTATAAAGTACTGTTAGGGTTTAGAGCTTAGGGTTTAGGGCTTAGG